CCCCAAAACCCCAAAACCCCAAAACCCCAAAACCCTTAACATGATAATTAGTTGAGCAAAAGAAATAATAATAAAATTTTTTTTAAAATCTAAATTATGGCTCAAATAGATGTTTCTTCCACCTTCTATGATAACCATTAACATTATCTCCTTGAGAAATAAAATATGCTTCTATGAAATCTATTCAAGAAAACTTGTTTAGATTTCTTAGTCACACTATTTCAAACAAGTCCTTTCAGTTTTTTGATTCTATTTTTTATAAAATCTGAGCTAATTAAGATTTGATTTCTTAAGATTCAGCGGCATTAGAATTCTTTAGTTCTTCTATTGTCTTTTTCAAAGTATTAATTTCCTAAACTTGCTTTTCATTTTAATTTTTCAAAGCCGTCTGAGTTTTAGATTGAGTCAATTAAAGCATATTATTGATGCTTATTTGTTATCTTTGAATAGACTTTTTAATATCTTTAATAAATCCTTGCCATTCTAAGTTATCTTCTGAATTTGATTAGACAGGTCTTCTTAGTATTAAGAATCTAGGAAAAAATTCAAATGATTCCTTTTAACTTTCTGACAAATGCATTTCTCTTTCTTTGATAAGCATTAACTACTATTTGTAAGACTAAGCAATCATTTTTTGCATGACTTTTTCATAAGATTCAGATATGACTGCGATTATGAAATTCAGTAAAATAATGTTGAGGAATAAAATTGAAGTTAACCAAATAATCCAAATGAAGATAGTTCCAGTATTTGTTAAAGAATTGTAAGTGTCAACTTAGAAATCACCCATTGAAGTCCTAAATGACATTATAAAATACGCCATCAAGCTTATTCCATTATACTCTTCTGGTACTTTATCACCCTGATAAAGCATAAGTGTAAATATGATACCATAAAGTGATAAAATCATTAGGTAGAAAGTAATGAAGTACTTTAGATCATTAAAAACAGCTTCTATCATTGAAACCAAGAAGCTAAATCCTCTGTATAGCCTAAGATAACTAGTGAGTTTGATATAGCATTGTATAACAATGATAGAATACAAAATTGGAATACTTTAAGAAAATGTTTAGCATAAGTCCAAAATGGATGTTACAATATAACATAATATCAATGCTAAATCTCCATAATTAAAGAACTCACTAAAGTAACTCTTAGTTCCTTGTAGAATCATACTTCTCACTTCATAGTTGGCTAAAAATATAAGATAAGACCAGCAAACTATCTGCAAGGATAACTTAAAATAAAAGTTCCCCTGGCTTTCCTCATTTGAATCACCTCCTCGATTTTTATTAATGACAAAGTAAAATATATCAAATATCACAAATGTTAAAAACCCTAGAAATAGAATAAAATGATTTCGGTAGTAGATTTTTGTATATTTATCCCATTTAAAATCAATAATTGCTTATATTATTGGCCTCTCAAAAATTTCAATGTTTTGATAATCTTATAAATTCTCTATAAACTTAGGATTTCTTATTGATTCAGGTAAATTTATTATAAGATTTTCTGTCAAAACATTTTTTACTTGGTCCTCACTTTCAGAATTTAATTTCATTATTATATCGTAATTTCTAAGAATATCTAGAATATTCAAAGTTTAATCGAATTCAGCAGTCAATATTTCCTCATCAGAACTGGAGAATATGTAATCTGTTTATACTTTAACATAACAAAGTGAGCTTTCTAAATACTCTTGTAGATTAATTTGCATTTCCAAAAGTAATTGAAAGTTCCTATCAATAACGAAATTAAAAGCTGGATTTTCTTAAATTTTCAAAATAAGTGACAAATATAATTCTACTCTTTGAATATTTTTTTCTTGAATTGCTTTATCAAGCGAGGTAGACTTATATATTCTATCAAAATTAACTAGGGAGTACTTGAAGTCTTCAAATTCATTGATTCTATTTGCTATCAATTACACAGTACTAATTGGAAGAGAATGCATTGTATCAAAAAGACTATGTTCTCCAAAGTCTGAAAATATTTAGTCCTACCGGAGATCATTTAAATATACTTTCAAAGTTTGCTCATCAAGTCTAAATTATTAATTTAAAGTCTGCAAGAAAAGAACTGGCATTCCAAAAAAGTGTTCAGTAACTTTCTTTTGATTGTTATCAAAATATCTAATCAATTAGCTTTATAAATCGATTTAAATTTTTAGATCATATGGATTGTATTTTTTTCCAATTAAATCTTCTAATGAATAAGGACTTATATGCAAAATTCTGCCTGTTTCACATTAATTGATGACGAGATGGTCGTTTTAGATCTCTAACAAATTGAGATTATCTCTTTGAATCTCTGAAACGCCAAGAAATTCAATAACTCCTTTAGGCTCGTAATTAAACTTATCAATAAAAATGTAGTAGGTCTCTAATTTAATTATCATCTAATCTTTAATTATTAGGTTACTATATTATTCAATCTACTTTTTATTTCTACGCTTATAAAAATTCTCATAACTCTACTAGTTTACGAAAAGTGATTTGATGAAAAATGCAATATCTTTGGTCACTCTGGAAACAATATCACCCTCTTTAAGAATTAGAGTGACAATTGTACACAAATCATATTCTAGATAGACTAATCTATTATCATTAAATTCTAAAATAATGCTCAAGTTGTCAATGCTTGGTTACTATAATTCTCTACTGCCTTCATGATCATCAGAAGTTTCCCTGTAAATTTTCATTAAATTGATGAGTTTAACTTAGTTAAAATTATTTTGTACTATGAATGTGAGGCTATCATCAAATGGCGCTATATATTTCATATATTGAGTCATATGGTCATTTGTAACACGTAAAACTTAGTCTATTCTTTAAAAATTGCGATTCTATTCTTCTAGTAACTTTTAATAATTTCTGTTGTACTCTTCATCATCGCTACCCCCGCCGCCGCCACCGCCGCCGCCACCGCCACCATAGCCACCGTAGCCTCCGCCGCCGCCGCCATCGCCGCCACTACAGCTTTCGTCACTGGAACTAATTTGCTTAAGTTTAATAACACTCAAAATGACATTTCTGTTGTATAATTCACTTTCAAAATCTATTATGAATTTAACTCTGCTTTAATAAATTTTTCTAATATTTGAAAGCTAAGGGTAAACTTTACTTAGTTCATTGTCAAATTCCTACTTAAACCCTAGAAATTACCACTACTTAGAGATAAATTTTTTGTCTATTTTTAAAATTTAACCATTAGTTTCTATGCTTTAAATTGTCTCATTATTAAATTAACTGTTCATTTGATGAACAAATAATTAATTAGACATTCTAATTTAGAAATTTTGAAGATCATTAGAGCTACTAAATTAGTTTATTTTGCTCGTAAATTAATCATTTTTCTGATCAAGTCCTTAGAAATATTCAATCAACTTTTTGAGATCTGTTACTTCATATATTGGAGTTGGCTCTCCAATATAGATATTCTGAACGACAAAGATATTAGAAAGAACAGGAATAACTGTTACATAGTTGAAATTATTATGGATAATTGTGTTTTCCTCATATGTTTTTATCTCAATTTCTTTCGAGAACATATAGAGAAGGAATGAATTATTTTAAAAATCTAATAAGTAGAATCTCTTATTTTTATGCAATAGTCTAGTGAAAGTTTAATGTGTAATCATACTGCTACAAATGTGGCAAACATTACTAATAGCAAGATAATTTTCATCATCAAAAGAAATATAACTATTGATTAGATTATTTTCAAAATCATTTAAAGTAGAAACTTTTTAGTAATTCAAGTATAGGAGTTCATTGGTCAAACTGTTTTTTAGAAAATATTGTTAATCACTAACAGCATGAGGAGTCCAGTCTTAAATAATTGTATCTGGAATAAATCTATGCTTGATAAAATTTTGAGAAGCGTATTAAAAGATGTACAATTAAGCGTCAGCAAGATTGAAAGTTAATGAGAAATCATCAAAATATCTAGTATTTATGAATACTCTCCTTTATTCTAACTTATCAGTCATAAGTTTCTAAGTTATTTGATTCCCATTTTTTAAAATAAAGTAATCTCTAAAGTGGATTATTTCTAGATTATTATTTGTTTTAAAATAGCTTGTAAATTCATCATTAATTTTCATCAGTATTATTTATTGAGAATCTATAGTAAAAGTTGATGGATCGTACTTAAATATTAGACAACTTCGCTTTGTTGAGAGATAAATATAGTCATTTTAAACTGCTAATTATAGCTAGTGTATTTAGAAACTTAAATTCAAATTAAATGTATGCAAAAGCTGTAAATTAGGATAATAGTATACTGAAATACAATTGAAGAATTTATGAGGCTTACTCTCCTAATATTGAGATTCAAATTTCTTGTAGAATAAGTCTTCTAGTTTTTCACTTTTAAGGTATTAAATTTAGTTTCTCTTTCCATAAGAAAACATTTGAGATTCTGATATATTTTCGCTTAAAAACTTGTTTAAAGGCTCATCTATGGAAAAAGATATCAATTTATTCTCAGACTTAACTTATTAAGAAACTAACTCATTAATAATTTAAAATTTTTCTTATTGTGGCAGTTACATTTATTGCTCATTTAGCAATTTCTCGAATGCATACTAAGAATACTCAACAACAAAGAGGTAGTTGCTTTTTATGAAAAAAGGAGTTAATTAATCAATGACAACTTTATTAAGACTATCTCAATTATTGTAGATATCCTCAAAATTTCCAAACTGAGTTGGCAGCTTGTCAAAAAGCTCAATCACTTCATACTTGTGAAATTCTTCCAATGGAACTTCACTTTTTCTTTACTATTGAGTACTAGCAGACTCCAAAATGAGTTGCTCAGCGTCAAGATTTAGATCTAATTGCTTGTAGGGATCTTAAATATTATTTAGTGCTTGCATTTGATCATTAGATAGATCAGATTTATCTAAAAGAGGTGTTCTAGATGTTGACATCTTATTTGAATATCTTATTTATTATAAAGAATTTAGAATAGAATAATTAAATAATAAGTTAAGCCATTAAAAATGAGGATATTATTGAAATTATATTAGTATAGAAAAAATTCAGATACTTTTTTCTCTAATACTAGGTCTAACCTTAAAACACCAAATTAGAAGCATTCCCCTTCTCATTAACCTGCGTTAATTTGTGTCTTATTGTCTATTTTTGAAAGATAGACAAACATAAATCATTTGGGATTCTATAAGTCTTGTTTTTTTTATATAGTCCGAACATTGGAGCAATTACTTTACTCAAACAAACTTGTCCTTTGGGGTTTTGGGGTTTTGGGGTTTTGGGG